TGCTGGTTCCCTCTTCAGCTGCTGCGTCTCTCCCAACCTGTGTGAGCCCTTTCACCTCCCTGTTGGTTCCCTCTTCAGCTGCTGCGTCTCTCCCAACCTGTGTGAGCCCTTTCACCTCCCTTCCGTCCGATGGCAGTTCCCTGACAACAAGTCATGTGTCTGAAGATAGAAAAGGATGGTGAGATCTGAGCACTGAGTAGTAGATGGTGGCTATTTGTCCTTTTGGTCTTGTAACACAAGTCTCTTAACTGCCATAAGGGCTCATAAAGTCTTTGATGAGTTTTTGAAGAATGGGTAAGGATAGAACATCCATCTCTGAAGACAAAAGGAAAAATGTTGTTTTGTGTAGAACGAATCAGTCAGGAGGTTCTTGTAAATTGCCATTTTTCTGTTTGCAGCAGGGGTGGAGAACTGCATCTGGGTCGCACTCTTATCTGCGCCATGCCATGCCGGCCAGCTTTGACAGGTGGGGATGGCTGCCGACCTGTCAGTCAACTGACATCACTGTGATGGCACAGCACTTTGAAAGAATCAACCATCAGCTGACCGTTTGCACTTGCAAAATATATGTTCTATGTGCCTCACACTTCACAGCTGTAGGGCAGAATGGAGTTGTTGTTTAGTCATTTAGTCATGTCCGACTCTTCGTGACCCCATGGACCAGAGCACGCCAGGCACTTCTGTCTTCCACTGCCTCCCGCAGTTTAGTCAAACTCATGCTGGTAGCCTCGAGAACACTGTCCAACCATCTCGTCCTCTGTTGTCCCCTTCTCCTTGTGCCCTCCATCTTTCCCAACATCAGAGTCTTTTCCAGGGAGTCTTCTCATGAGGCGGCCAAAGTATTGGAGCCTCAGCTTCACGATCTGTCCTTCCAGTGAGCACTCAGGGCTGATTTTCTTAAGAATGGATGGGTTTGATCTTCTTGCAGCAGATTGGAGTGGTTTGTCCTAAGTGGCCTGTTGGGCCACGTGGGGAGCTGTAGAGGGCCAGAGACTCGGCACCACTGATCTGTTGAGTGACAATGGGAACAAAACAAGGGAAGGACTGTAGCTCAATGGCTTGGCATGCAGAATGCCCCAGGTTCATTTCACAGCATCTCTATGTATAGTTGGGAATGCCCTCATCTGAAAGCCAAAGAGAGCTGCTGCTGGCCAGTGTTGACAATACTGATCTAGATGGACCAGTGACTTAACTCAATATAAGGTAATTTCCCATGTTTTGACGCAATATGTCTATCTAAACCTCTCAATACATAACCAGTGTTGTCACTGGGATTGCAAGTGCTTTCTTTCTGAGCAAAACATTAGCAAGAAGATGTTCCTGTTTAACTTTTTAAGGCTTTGTCTACAACCCTTTGTTTTAAGACACATCTCTTATCAAACTGCAGTTTTACTGTGGTCTCCTGTGTGGGACTGAACGTTAAAGAAATAAATCTCAGCAGGAAATAGGCTTTTTCCCTTTTTAGCAAATCTGCAGCCTCCAATCAGGACTCATTGCAGGGTTTAATCAGGTCTTTCAGAGAGAAATTAAAAGCAAGGATAGTCATCTGATTTAAGCATGATAAAACATAAATGATAGGGAAAGTGGATGAAATGTTGCACGGTTTTGAACACTCTGTAAGTTACAGCCAAGTCTTCACACTGCTTCTGCCTGCTTCTGAACTGCAGTTTGTTCATCTCTTTAAATCAAAATAACCGTGCACCTCTCACGGTGGTACATTGCAAAGTTAAATTTATGTTGGCCAAGTGTGTTGCAGCCCTTGGATAATTCATCTGATTTAAAGGAAAGAGTGCCATTGTTGTTCCTTGTAGCCAACGCATTCTACTGTTGTCCCATTTAAGAAGGGCCATTTCAGAGGCAAATGTCACAAGCAGCATTTTGTGTACATAATTCCAATTTAAATCGGGTGAAATGTTGCACGCTAGCCTTGGAGTATTGCAGCCATCGTTGTTCAGCATGAAAACTGCCATCTTCATCTTGCTCTTCCTCTCAACCCCATTTTATAGATTTCAGAATACAGGCTGTGGACGAATGAATGGTTTGACCAAAACCATTGAGTTGGCTTAACAAGAATTTGAAAAGCACCTGCCATGTTCACAGTGACCCTCTTTGCCTTCTGCTACCATGCTAAGTTTATCTCTTAAAGCATATTAAAACTGAATAATAATGAAGGGTAGTTTCCCAGGAAAGCCCACCAGATTCAAAGGGTGGGAACTGACTGAGCATCTCCAAATAAATCCGGGAGAGCAACTGTAAAAGGCTACCTTAGCTGTGTTGGGCTTTATGAAGCTTTGAGATGTGTTTGACATCAGCTGATGCAACACCCAATGCTAAGCAAATAAAAATTATTTAAAACAAACAAACAAACAAACAAACAAAAAACCACCTGCTATTAACGCACCAAAAATAGTTCATATATGTTCCCATACTGTGCATGGCTGAATGAATGAGCACAAAAATGGCATCACACTATGTTTCTTAACTATAGAGTTAGAATCGTTCTCTATTAATCACCATGTCCCTGCTATTCTCTATTTTATTTGCCCATGCTAAAATAAGTCACTTGGGGTATATCTATGTCAAGTAGGGTTGCTGAAAGAGCACTGGCACATCACCGATAGAATTAAAACTTTTATCATGTCTATACAGTAGCTCATGCAATCCGACTGTTAAACTGGCCAGTGGGCGAAGGATAGACTTGCTAAATATTTATAATTTTATAACACAAGGACGTGATACACTTGCAATTCTGCAGAGATTAAGCCTACCCAAGAGAATAAATGTATGTATTCAAGCTAAATTGGAAAGTTTAGTGCAATTGTTAAGCAAACACTGAAACACCCCTCTTTCCTTTTTAGAATCACATTTGGTATAACACATATTTTCCTTCCGAAGCTAATGAATACAGAGTAAAGATTTTTGTCTCTCAAGTGACAGCGCAGCTTGCTCACTTGGGCCAATATTTTTAGGCTTTATTGATTCAACAAAATTGATGAGGACAAATTGAATTATGTACCTTTTACTCTGCTAGAGTGGCAAGCCATCCTGCTTAGTAAGACCTTGGCATGGTAAGCATGGAATTAGTAGCAGGCCAAGGATATGCCCTATCAGTAGGCACAGTGTCTCGCAGAAAGGGTGGCTGACCTGTGGTCCATGGGCCACCTATGTTCCCCCAAGGTGGGGGTGGTTTTTTTTTTTTTTTTTTTTTTTTGTAGCCCACAATTCCCCCACCAATTTATTATTTCTTAAACATTTTGAAAAATGATTCCTCCTACACAGTTGTGATATTTTTGGGCCCTCCCAAGCCCCTCATTTCTAATTTTTCACATAAAAAATGTTTTCGTTACTTGCTGCTCCCATATGTCTTCTGATGTAATCATTTAATCCCAAAAGATTTATTTGTGTGCCTCTTGCCCCCCAAGTTGTCCACTTAAAAAATAATATAATATAATATAATATAATATAATATAATATAATATAATAATATAATATAATATAATATAATATAATATAATATAATATAATATAATATAATATAAAATTTCTAAACTGGCTTCCTCTATGGCCCTGTGGTGTGATTCTGTGTTCCTCAAGATTTTTGTGGTTTCCCAAGACCCTGCAAATTTGTCATTTCATGCTCCCCCCATTTTCCCCCAGATCTCCTTTTACATTTGGCCAAACCCAATTTGTCCTCCTCCCACCATAGCTTAGCCATGGGTCAATATGGCCTGCAGACCAAATCAGCTTAGCCCCCTCCCCCCCCCGGCTTTAAAGTGTAGCAATAGGTCCCTAACCCAACACCATTAACTACTGAAATTTATTAGCAGTGGGAAAGTAGGCAAGGAGTAATGGGGACAGGGATGGGGACTAAGAAGTTGTACAAATCTGAAACTGACCTGTAGGGCTGTGCAAATAAATTCATCATACCGTTGAATATTGGTATTGAAATAACATTGTGAAAAGTGTTTCAACAAGGCAATATACCAGGAAACAAAAGGTGGACACTTCAGCAAAGTAACCAAAGAACATAAAGAACTGGAAAGCACTTCTTTCTTTCCTCACACGCACCCCTGCTGGTGGAAGAAAAAGAGGGGGAAGAGTTTTTATTTTTTATTTTCTGGTGGTGTTTATGTTTTTGGTTCCCCCTACACAGCTTTCCTCCATATAAAAAAAGGTAGGGTTTTTCATTTATTTATTTAAAGGAGACTATCTTTTTGCTTCCTTGCCCTCCCTCCCTCCCTTTGATAAAAAGGGAGAGGTTGGTGGGACGAGGGCCTTCTATGGGGTGGGGAGGGAATGAAGAGGAAAAGATTTAGCTGGCTGCCTTATGCTGAAATGGTAGGTTGGGTACTATGTGAGAATGATGGGGAGGGTGTTTTTCGGTAAGTGGTGCAAGCAAATGTATGTCTACTCACAAGCAAGCCCTACTGAATTCAATGAGGCTTACTCCCAGGAAAGTAGAAGTAAGTTTAGTTGAGCTCTGTGGGGCTTGTGTATGCACAGATTCCACTTAGAACTCTGAGTGGGGAAGCAGATGCAACTTGACTGGTAAATCACTTAAACTACTCTTATATTAGTTGAAAATATATTATCGGGAAGTTTATTTAATATTTTTATTAAATCTGCCACTATGCATTTTAAGGCCCTCCACCGCCGCGGGGGGCCTTGTCAAGGCCCTCAGCTGTGGCGGAGAAGTGCGACACACACCCCGCCGCTGTGGGGAGGTACGGCGAGACCCACTGCCGCTGTAGATATATATCATGATATATCAAGCTATCATGATATTTACCTGGTGATATATTGTGATGCTGAAAATCAGATACCGCTCAGCCCTGCTAACCTAAGCAGCTAGGATGGGTGTGAAAGTAACTTAAATTAAGAAGGGGAGCATCTTAGATTCTCACAGACTTGTCATAGGTCATGCAGACATTTAGTCTCATTTGCTATTTCTACAAAACTGTGGAAATGGCTTTTCATCTTGCTTACTCATTTCAACAGGATGCACCATGTGGTCAGGAAATAGACACTTAGATGAAGTTCTTGTGACTGTCTTTTTAGTAGTGCTGGAGATGGATTACCTTGCCTTCTTCATTGTTGCTGCTCTGCAATCATATCAAAGTAAGATAAGTTTCTTAAGTAGCATGCTGGGGGTAATCTCTGGATACTTTGCCTACAGATCGTAAGCGTGTTTTGTAGTAAGTTCCATAGAAATAATTTCACCCTTTGGAGATCCTTGTTTAGCCTGAGCTTGGTCAACTTGTACTTGGTGTGGATGGTGGAGGGGGGCTGTTGGTTCTGGAAGCGTTTAGCTTGATCATTAGATGCTTCAGGTGTTACTGTGGTTCAGAGTTTAATGAAGATAACAGCATTTCCCCCCTCTTCTCTTTCTGTCTTGTTTCTGTCACAGTTGAAGGAGAACATGTGGATTCTACTGTGAAACTTGCCAGTGCCATGACTCTTGAATGTGTCTTTCCAAAGGCTGCAAATATAGTCCAGATGTTTTGGCGGAAGGAGGAGGGCAAAGAGAACATTGCAATCTTCAAACTGCCTGACCAATTGTATATTTCCAGCAAATATAAGGACAGAGTCAGTGTTACTAACGATACCTCGAACATCAAGTCCTTGGTGTTCAATAGCACAACTTGGGAAGATACTGGCTTTTATCTATGCTCTTTTCATACCTTCCCGCTTGGGATTTGGAAAAAGAGAATACAGGTTGTCCAATCAGGTAAGGTAAAAGTTTTAAGTACTGCCTTATACATTAATGTAAATTACAGTATACATTATAAATTCAATTTATTAGCCTCTTATGATATAATAATAAATAATAAAATCAATGGTAAGTGCAAATCCTACATATTTGTCAGCAAGAAAACATCAGCTGCTATGATTAAAAATAAAGTAGATATTTTCAGGGATACAGCTGCAATGTGAGCAGAGGCGGATTGAGGGGAGTGTTACCGGTTTGGCTGCACTGGGTGCGGAGCCTCAGGGGGATGCCACAATGATGGGGTGGAATGGAACGCAAGAGGCGGGGGTGGGGCATGAATATTGCCATTGCACAGGGAGTCGCTGAAATTGGAGTTGCCAAAGTCCTCCATTAATGTAAGTCCTGCAACTCTTGCTCTTGTGACACTGCCCCCTCCCCACTGCTCCGGATACTGGACCAAAGTGGCTCAGATGCAACCTCCATGTGGCAAAAGGACAAGTAACCATTAATGGAAGCAATATAAAGTGTTTGACCACCTAAAAGAGAATGAATGCATACCTCATAACTAATTTTGTTAAAATATCAGTATCTCCTCTATTCTCCAAATCTTACTCCACCCCATGGAATTCTGAATTCATGTATGCAGAATTAGAAATGTTTTTGAAACCCTGTGGTGGGAGGGAACAGCTAGAAAAGAGATTTGGCAATGAGAATTGTCAAATGGCAAAAAGAGTTGAGGAAACTCCTTTTCTATCATCTAAATTCCCTCATTCTGACTTTTCTAAATAAAAAACAACTATTGGTCTCCCATATCCCCTTTAAAAATGAACATTTAAATGACTGTGTTTGGCTTACAATGAGAGGAGTAGGTCAATCACCCACAAGCACCTTTGCTCTTTCAAGACAGACGTGTGACTTTTCTCAATTTTGCTAGTTAGAGATTCAAGAAAATCGAGTACATATAGGTGTTTTGTGGGAAACTCTGACTAAATCTGTGACTTTTAGTGTACTAATTATCTTCCTCCCAAAGCTATTTTAGCTAAAGAAAAAAAATTGCACTAAGGGAATTGCTGCTTTTGTTGTGTGGCTGTCAGCGGTGAATTACACTAGCTATCCAATTATTCCACCTGCTGCTAGGAGTGTTTAATTGTGGATGCCGCTGTGCGTATGTTACTAACTTGAAGCTAGCAGTCCTTGTTAAATGAACCTTTTATTCAGTGATTTCCTGTCTAGCTTGAAAGTTTTGTTGCCTCTCATTCTGGACTTTGAATAAGTGAACTTGGACACTGAGTCCCCAGTTCAGATTGTTAATAAGTCCCAGTGAAAAGTTTTCAAAGTGAAGGTTCATATTGTGTCTGCATGTAGAATAAAAAGCAATTAGATGTCCAGTTTGTGAAATTCAGTGGGAATTTGACACTTGCCTCCCATAGCTGATGTCTTCTGATTGGCAGGCGCAATACCTGTCATGTTGAGTTTAATGAGTTCTATATTCTCTCTCTTTTCAACTGTAGCCAGAGTAACACAAGAAAGGCCTGCAGAAATGTCATGGCAGTTTTCATCCTCCACAGAGCACATCACACTCCTTTGCAACCAGAGATATTCACGTTGTGTATGAGTGTGCTGAGTTCTTGGTGTTCCAGAAGGTAGCACACAGTAGGTGAATATGAGTCAGTTACAGAGCCTATGGTTTTCACACAATGCCATAGCTTGCGCCTCTGGTTGGGAGATGATTGAAAAGACTCTTCAGTGATAGCACAAGGGTACCATAGAAACACAAGTTTGGAGTGACACAATACCAGAAACATGAGGTTTTCTCACCCTTTATTCTTTTTAAGGGTTGTTATATAACTAAAATGGTTGCCTGCATCAAAGAAGGCAGTAACTGGCCATTAATGAATCAATGAATCAATGATTATTACTAATAATTGTTAGTTTCTACATCAGGCATAGGCAAACTCGACCCTCCAGATGTTTTGGGACTACAACTCCCATCATCCCTGACCACTGGTTGTGTTAGCTATGGATGATGGGAATTGTAGTCCCAAAACATCTGAAGGGCCGAGTTTGCCTATGCCTGTTCTACATTAACAAGCTGTGCTGTATAAGCCAGGTTTAAACACACACACACCTGAGGGAATGGGAGTGGATGGAAAAGGTAGAATAGAGAAACTAAAATTAAATTTCCTAGACGTCCTCAGTCCTGTAGCCAAGTTGTTATAGGAAAAAGTTGTAATTCTTCCTTTGCTCTGTAGCGTCAAAGCTTGAGCCTTAAACCCTTGTGATTGTAAGTGATTGTGACTTGCTCAAGGCTGACTGTGATTTGTTTTGTCCTCTTCCCTCCCTGTCCCTTTTTTTATTTTGTGCTGTGTTTTCTAGATTGCAGATCTGCAGACAGGGACTACCTTGTTTAGAATGACTGCATTTTTGTGAGGTTTGGCTTTTTTGGAGGGGTGTGTGTGTGTAGGCTGTATGCCTGAGCCCCTTCTAATTCCTGGATTCAGCAATGGTTAAAATCTAATGGAAAGTTCAATTGTTGGGATAGCCAGACAAGTTTGTTGACACATTGTTGTTGTTTAGTCGTTTAGTCGTGTCCGACTCTTCGTGACCCCATGGACCACAGCACGCCAGGCACTCCTGTCTTCCACTGCCTCCCGCAGTTTGGTCAGACTCATGCTGGTAGCTTCGAGAACGCTGCCCAACCATCTCGTCCTCTGTCGTCCCCTTCTCCTTGTGCCCTCAATATTTCCCAACATCAGGGTCTTTTCCAGGGGGTCTTCTCTTCTCATGAGGTGGCCAAAGTATTGGAGCCTCAGCTTCAGGATCTGTCCTTCCAGTGAGCACTCAGGGCTGATTTCCTTCAGAATGGAGAGGTTTGATCTTCTTGCAGTCCATGGGACTCCCATTGACACGTTAATGGCCCCCTAATTATGGGTTGTTAGGGTGACAGAGGAAGTGGCTTTGTGCCAAGGGGCAAATGGGTAGCACCCCTCCCTCACCTGTTGGTGAGAAGGACAAGGGCCAGAGACATGCATGTGTGAACTGAGCTAGACACAAGAGACAGGCAGAAGCCTGATAGGGAGAGATATGCTTGATTTCTGCTTGAATCCAAGGCTGTGGCTTTGGGAGAGACAAGAGTTTCTTGGGGTGTTGATGCTGTAAGCTCCTCCATCATAAGCTTGGGTTTTATACATGTGCAAATAAGCCATATATCACAAAGACACCACACTCGCCAATGTCCCTCATTACAAGGAAACCAAACCCTAGGTAAACCCCTGGGATCTCACACGCTCAGAGATTAGAACGTCATGTACCAGTATGTAGGCAGGTCTGGGAGCCTTTTTGGCCAAGGAGTGTGGGAAACAAATGATCTAAATAAACAAAAATAAATAAGGCTGGCACTAGCTGAACAGAGTTATGAAACTTGGTTTCTCTCATCTAACATAAAAGCACTGCATCATGCTAAATACATCCTATGTGCTTTATACATTATGACAGATTCAATACTGTTGGAAAATGAAGCCCAATAAGCCATCACGTAAAATATGGCAATATGAAAATGGATTGTAAGTACCAATGACAGCCAAATCTCTATTACCATGTGGAAAATCAAAGGGGGGGGGGCACATACAGTATCCAGAAAATTTCTACTTTTTTTCCTTCATTTTATGAAGTTATAGCTTTATGTGCAGTATGTCAGCATTTCAAGTCGCTATAATTGCTACATTTTAAAAGGCATTTAAAAAAAGATCGAAAAATGAGGTAGTTATACGACAGGAGAGAAAATGGAGAGCCGATCTGTTGCTTACGAAGCCGTAAATCTGAAACTAGGGGAACCTGTGATAGGTAGCCATTAAAATGACACACATTCTTTCAGATGAGTGAGGAACAAGTGGCATGGAAATGCTTGCTATTGTAATGATCTGCTCATGAAGAAACTAAACCGGAGCTGTAGCAGAACAATGAAGAAGAAGAACAAAAGCACGTCACCTTTGTAATAGCTCTGTTACTGCATTTATCTTTAATAGCTGCAAAAGATCTCCCTAGCAGGATTCTTGCATGGAACAGGGTGGGCGGGGTGGGGGAGTGGGGTGCAGTGGGGAGAGGAATGAATGCTCTTGGAGGTGCAAGAAGATTCTTCCCCCACCTCAGTCATTCCTAGCAGCTCCTTGCTTCTTAGAACATCTCTCTGTTAGGCTTCCTGGTGTTCTCTTGTTTCCTGTATTGCTAAAAGCAGGAACATCAGAATGTAATCTCCTTCCTGCAGCTGCACTGTTAGCCTTACATGCACAAACACACACACACACACACACATATACACACACCAAAGAGAGGGAGAGGGGGGCGGTAATGTCAGTAGCTAAAAGACAACACACAGAAGGAAGACAGTGTTGAGGACAGGGTTTATGGATGCACGATTCTGTGAGATCATTCAGGATGATGGGCTGCGATTTCCAGCGATCTTAGTTCTGTGGGACAGGGAGTCCAGCTGTTGCATTCTGAACTTCTGACTTTGGGCTTCAGGACTGCACGGTCTAGCAACATACTAAAATCTACTAGGTGGATTATGCTATTAAGGACTTGAGCTATTTGACATGATTTAAGGATTGCAAATTCTATTTTTATGATGTTATCTGCTGACGACCTGTTCTTAACCTCAGAACTGTGAAGCATGACTGCATTGCATTTTCTGGAAAATAATGTATACCCATTATTCAGGAATTCTCCCGGTATTTAGATTCCAACCAAAATGTTGAAAACAACAGCAGGCTTGGATATATTCAGCACAGAAATGAAAGAAAGGCACTATGACTGATACTGCATGTAAAAAAAAAATGAAGCAAACTTGAGAAATCTGAAATTCAATGTTAAAGGTCTCGATTGTTAACAGTTCATCTGGAGCATCTAATTAGACTTCCATCTTTTATAGCCATTAGCACCTAAGCCAGGGAGGTGTGTGGCAGCATGTATGAAGAACTGTCTTCCCAGAAAGAGGCTGTTCATACCCTCTTAACACAGATAGAAATGATCCACAGTAAAGGAAGGGCTAGATAAACATGAATTTCAAAAGGGGGTGGGCAGTCTTCTAGTAATCTCTGACTGTAACCAGCAGGGGAGAGTCAGACCATCTTTCTTGGCTGAGGTGAGGAAAATAAGAGATTTATAATGAAATCCAATGCACATCTACCCTCAAAAGTGAACTCTACAGACTTCAGTGGGACTTTCTTCCCAAGTAAGCATGCTGCCCAATCAATGAATTGTTTTGCTGAAACAAAATGAGAGGGTGGTGGTGGTTGTTAAATCTATTTTGTTTTTTTTTTTACACAGTGTTTCTTTTCCCCTCAACTTCTTTTTTTAAGCAGGGGATTTTGAGCCTCGAAACTTGTCATATCGTCATATGATTGCTGAACCAGGAGCAAATGTCAACTTTACCTATGGGCCTGACCCCGAAACAACACTTTATCAAGTGAAATGGAAAAGGATCTATACAGACCATGTGGACCTCATAGTCCAATGTGATACATCTGGTATAGCAGTCTATGGTTCAGATTACGAAGACCGTGTAGTGATAGACTGTGCCGCCCGGGTGGATAGCACAATTGTACTTCGGAATGTCACAGCTTCTGACTCTGGGATGTACAGCTGTTTTTACATTGGGACGAATGGTGCAAATGCCACAGTCTGGACAAAACTGACCATTGATGGCAACAGTAAGTAAAGGGAATTTACAAAATCCTGCAGTTGTTTGTAGGCATTTGTATTAATTTAAACACATGTAAAATTAGAGGCTGAATAGTTGTTTTGAAAAGCATTTGCAAGGCAAAGGGAGAGAGAGAAACAGTGAAAGAGAATGGACCTTAGTTGGGCTTGGCTTGGCTGGATAAAAAGTAGCAAGAAAAGAAAAGGATGGATAGGTGTTAAAGAGGAAAGATTGAAGGTGGGAAATGATAGACACAACCCGCCCCTCTATAACCACCCCCCAGCAATGGTGGTGAAGGAGGGAAACAGCCAGCAGTCCAGATAAAATGAAGTGATGGAGGGAATCAATTTCCTTCCCCAAGATCTCCTTCTATAAGAGGGTGTTAGCGGATCCAGAAGCACTTATATAGCAATCTTCCTATAAAGAAAATCATCATAATCTACTCCCATCCCATCCAACATACTGTTTTCAACAGTGGTTAGAGTTCCAGATCTCAAGGAGAACTTCCAAGCTTCTTTAACTGAGAATGCTTAGAAATCCCCTTCTGGCCTTTCTGCTCAGCTCTGGAAGATTGGTGTGGATCTCAGGTTCCCATTCAATGTCCAGGAACAACACCTGAACAGGGTGTTATCTGCAGACTTGGCTATTTCGCTGCTCCAGGTAGTTTATTCCAGATGAATAGACAGGTTAGTCTGCTGTGATTAAATCAATAAAGAAAGTTGTCTTAACCCGCAATACATTTGTCACAATAATTTAGGGTGAAATTCCAGCTCCGCACACGAGGCAGGTAACAATTCTTGGGTAGCCCTGGATTTCAACATATTGCTTACCAACCCCTATTTGACTTACAGGGACATGCAGCTATTTTTTCCCACCAGTGTTGTTGCTGCCATACCTTGAATTTGTTCAGGAAAATGATTGATTTCAAACACCTGCTCTTCAACGTGGCCATTGTGATATGTTTGCATCCTCCATCTGGTTTGTGTCACGTGAAGCTGTGTGCTCTCCAGAGGCTGCCTGGCTTTCTGGTGCAAAACTGGATGCTCAGGCTTCAGTGACATTGGAAAGATGTTTGCAAGCTCATCACATGGCATATTTTAATTGAGAAACAAGCAAGTGGAAGGAAACCATATGAGAGGTGCAACATCTGCTTAGGTGCAAAGTTCTTTTGCCCCATTTGAAAGTGTCTTCATAGTTTCTCACTGTCAGAGACCTCTTCCTGTACAGTGTGTGCGTGCTTAGCAAATGTTGTAAAACCCTTTGTGGCAAGGCGCATGACAAGCGGTTCAAACCACTTGTTAGGTTTTAGTGCGTTGTAAACTGTCGAGCCTGTCAGTGTTTCTCCCATATACCTGAAGTCAGGGCAGTGAAGGTTGAAAGCACTCACCCACAAAAATTTTGGACTCCCGTGAAGAAAAAGTGTCAATATAAAATCACTTGCATTTTTTGCCAGTGCTTTAGGGAAATGAACAGACTCCAACACACACTTAATAGTGTCCTATCAACCTACTCCCCTCCAAAGATAGGGCAGATCTAGAAGACAAGTGATGTGTCTCTGACTTGTATACCTTGTTCTTAAGAAATTATGGGTATTTATGCTAGACATGAAATATTGAAGAAGCGCAGAACAGCATAAACTGCTCCAAAGAAGCTAAGAGCTTCCAGGTTCTGGTATTTTTCTAAAAGCTAAATCTGTTGATATTCTTTTACTGAGATGCATAGATCCTGAATGAGTATGGTACAAAGGCAGTCCGTAGAAGTATGCAGTCAGATGTCTTCAGCTATGTGAACAAAGTCAACCGGAATTGAACCCTTTTCAGACCACTGCAATCCCACAAATTGTACTGTTGTTTGGCAGGCACTGGTTCATCATGAGCACCTATTTTTGAGCACTTCATGGCTACAAGTTTGGCAGTCAGTGCTCACTCTGAACAAAACAGCAACTAATGTGAGCCTGATTTTCTAAAAATTTTAGAAACAGGTATTCTTACTGAAGCAAGTCCTACATCTGACGAGATAACACAATGAGTCAGGCTGAAGCTCTTGAAGATGAAACATCGGATTATTGATCTCTTCACTGTTTAGAGCTTGTTATGCTTCAGTTAAATTCCAGCAGGGTTTCCAGATTTCAGAATATCAGATTAGATTTTCCTCATGCAGCCAGAATTGGAAACCCTGAAGAAATGAGCACATGCACGCATGGGCTTGCGTGTGTGTGCGCACACACACTTGTATATTTATTTTGCTCTTCATGATCACAAACTGACTAGAATTTCATTTGACTGTATATCACTCAGCAAATTGTCTTGTTTCTCTCCCTCTTGAGCAATAGTAATAACATTTACCATTTACCTTCCTAGTTTCTTTGGAGAGTCATTCTGATCAGCGTATCTTTGTTATTGCTGGAGCTGCTGCTGTCTTATCATTAATAATGATCCTCATCATTACTGCGCTTATTTGTCATCATAAAAAGTAAGCAAATTGTTCTGTACTCTATCTAATATTTGTTCACTGACCTGATACCTACTTAAAACCTAATCCATATATATGCCCAGCTAAAATTAATGGTGATCTTCAAATTAGCAGTGATGAATGTGCAAACAAATGGATTGAAAAATTCATTTTACTTTTTTATTATATATTTATATACCACTTATTTACCACTTATACCACTTTATATACCACCTTTTTTGTCTGATGAGCTAAGTGTACATGGTTCCCTCCTCATTTTATCCACATAACAACTCTGTGAGGTAGGTTAGGCCAGTGTTTCCCAACCTTTTTCTTGCCATGGCCCCCTTCTGACCTTTTTTCCTTCCTGTGGCCCCCCATGGACATAGCCGGGGGGGGGAGCAGCTGCCTCCTATAAGTAAAAATCCACACAAATCAATACAAATATGAGGTTCTGTCCCCCTCAACAAAAGTCTGCCCCCTAACAAAAATCCTGACTACCTCCATGCCCCCCCCCCCATCGTCCTGCTGGTAGAAAAGGAACTCTTTAAATGTTTCGTTTATAAATAGAACATGTTTTATTGCTTTTTTATAATTTATACAAAATACAATCACATAAAATGATAGGAACTTAATGAAATATTGTTGAAGCAGAAAAAACAGAGACTAATAGAGCTGGAAGGGACCCCAAGGGTTATCTTTCTAGTGCAACCTCCTGCAATGCAGGAAACTCAGCTAAAGCATCTGTGACAATTGGCCATCCAACCTCTGCTCAGAAACCTCCAAGGAAGAAGAGTCCAGAACCTCCCAAGGGAGATTCATCTTCCATGTACAGTGGTACCTTGGGTTACAGACGCTTCAGGTTACAGACTCCGCTAACCCAGAAATAGTACCTCAGGTTAAGAACTTTGCTTCAGGATGAGAACAGAAATTGCGCGGTGGCAGCGGGAGGCCCCATTAGCTAAAGTGGTAACTCAGGTTAGGAACAGTTTCAGATTAAGAACAGACCTCCAGAATGAATTAAGTTCCTAACCCGAGGTACTACTGTATTATAAAAAGTAAACAACACTTATTTGATCCCAGTTATTTGACACAGAGGGGGAAACCTACAGATACTGTCCAAAAGGTGCACAGGGAGTGGTGTATTTATGGGAGAATTTTAAGAAGCAATTGGTCCTCACTGACCTGGGCAAAAAGATCTTGTCATCCGGAGGAGCCCTGGCTGCCTAGATGAAACACTATAGCCCCCCACACCCTTGTCTAGGAGTAAGGCCCACTGAAGTCAGTGAGTAGTCACTTAGCTATTTACAAGATGCAAGTCAGCAGCACCAGACGACTGCTCAGCTGGATGCTGGGGTGGATTTCACTCTGCACCTTGCAGAGCTAAGCCAACGGTGCCAACAGGCTCTTTGCCCCTCGGCAGCATCCAAAGGCCCTGATCTGCTAGGCGCTGGGGTGGATTGCACCCCGCACCTTGCAGAGTCAGGCCCAGGCTGCCACCGGGCCCAGCACTGCTGGCAACAACAAGCAGCTCCGGCTCTCCCAGCCCTACCCGTTGCCACCCCACCCCCACACTTACCTGACCTAGGGGTCCTGGATCAAAGGCTCTACTGGTCAAAACAAGAGCCTCCGTGATTGCCCTTTTCCACTGGAAACAAACAAGAACGGCTCCAAGAAAATGCATGTGGCAAAAAGGAGCATTAGGTTCTGGTGGGCCACCCCCTTACCTCTTGTGATTGGCCAAGTGGATAATGAGCCAATCAGGATTTTTAAATTTTTAAAAAATGATTTCCCCCTTCACTTCTCACTTCCCTCTATGGCCCCCTAGCCTTGTGCTGTGCTCCCCCATTTCTGTGATTTTCATCTGTGCCCCCCCTGGAATATCCTGCCCCCCGGGAGCCATATGGCCCCTGGTTGAGAAACTGCGTTAGGCCAAGAGACAGTGACTGGCCCTAGGTCATTCAGAGAGCTCCGTGGCTAAGGGGGGATTTGAACCCTGGTCTCTAGGACTTGGGCTGACCCTTAACCACTTCGCCACACACAGTGGTACCTCGGGTTACATACGCTTCAAGTTACCTTGGGTTACATACGCTTAAAGTTCAGGTTACAGACTCTGCTAACCCAGAAATAGTACCTCGGGTTAAGAACTTTGCTTTAGGATGAGAACAGAAATTGTGCTCCGGTGGCGCAGCGGCAGCAGGAGGCCCCATTAGCTAAAGTGGTGCTTCAGGTTAAGAACAGTTTCAGGTTAAGAACGGACCTCCTGAACGAATGAAGTACTTAACCCGAGGTACCACTGTATATGTGTGAATGCTCCTTTCTCATTAATTGTCTGATAACCGGCATGGAAGCATTTAGAAAGAGGGAGGTCTTATCCTTCTGATTCCTGTGGAGGAAAAGTGCTTTCCCACTCCTTGATACGAGGCAGTTGCAAATGTAGAAGTGTGACTCAAGCTGGGCTGCAGCTAGTTCCTAGCAGACATACAGAACATGACTGAACACTTTGATCATCTCATAGGTGAGTGAATGAATAGTTGGTCAGGCATTTAAACGCAAATTTTTCTCAGGGTTTCTACCTTCCAGAAACCACCTTAATATTTTGCACAGAACCTCAAAATTCCTATGTCCTGGTTGTGGGTCAAGTCTAACAACAGCGGTTTTTTTATGTGCCAGCAGAAAGAAGAAGAAGAAAAGGATGATGATGATGAAAGCCTTTCGTCTTGCTCACACACAAGCAAATGTAGGTGAAGCCTCCTTTCTTACAGAATATCCTTTTGAGGAGCATCTTCACCATATGCAATAAGTCTGATGGCTGTGCCTCTCAAGCTTTTTGAGTGAAGCAACTTGCCTATTAAAAGCATGGATCACTTTTTGGGGAGGGGAAACAGTATTTGTGAACAGTTACAACATTTAGGATACTTTTGTATATCATAAAAACAAACTATGGGTTTTGGGCCAGTTGATTTGCTACGTCGTAGGATCACCACTCTGAAAGAGGTATTGTTATTTTAAAAGCAGGGTTCTGAACTTTTAAAGATTTTTATGCTCTGCAGACTAACCAGAGATTTGTTATAACACTTAGCTCAGTTGGTAGAGCATGAGACTCTTGATCTCAGGGTTGTGGGTTCAAGACCCATGTGGGTGAAAGATTCCTGCACTACAGGAGGTTGGATTAGGTGATCCTCATGGTCCCTTCCAACTCAACAACTCTGTGATTCTGTTTTAAAATATGCTCACAAATCAGGTATTGCTCCTACCTAACCATAGAAGAGCATGGTGATAAGCCACAGGTTGTGGTTAAAAAGAAAATGCCATATGACTTGTTGGTCCTCCCACCTCCAAAGCAGGCTGAGCTCATCCTGATTCATTCTTAGAATGTGCTTAAACATGTGGCCTTCGATGCTTGGCTAATGTGTATCCACACGACTCTATTAGTCTGTGGGTTTTGCGTTTTTTATTCATCCTTTTCATTTCCAACAGAGGGAAAGGGGGATCAGTCAGTTACAACAGAGAACTCTTTTCCATTCTAGAGGCACTATTAAGCACGGCTGATCTGTGTGCTGATACAGCACTGTTTCTTTCTAATGGCTGGTGGTGTAGGACAGAGGGCATATGAAGAGTGTATTAGGTATGGTCTGTGGAAGTATTGTTTAGGAGATGGTATCCAACAGCTTCAGGGCCAAGTTGCCAAAGTTTCAATAGGAATTGCTTATCATGTTACATTTCAAAGGCATGGGCTGATATATGATTTCTCAAACATGTGCAAACAGCTTGCATGGATGAATGCATAAGCTGCATCTTAAGTGTTTTATACATTACCACTAACCATGTTAAGGGTAAGCCAAAACCATTTACAGTACCTAGCTTTGTGTTATTTTTTGGGGTCACAAATAGTTCCCATTGTTAGCAGTTATTTGACGTACAACATCTTCTTTGTTTTATTCTGATGCTGGCCTGGTACACTTTGTTCTCTTGCCAGCAAAGGCAAATGAGACTGCAAAGAGTGAAGGCAAATGGGGTGCAGCAGCCAAGAGAACAAGACATTGACAAGAAGCATCAAAACAAGGTGATCCTTTGGTGAGATGGCCATTTTTCCAGTAATTTGTTCAACTATGTTAATTATAAAGAAAAGAAAAAGGGAGAGCATTTGATGCAGCCCTAATAGGAGGAATAAGGCGCTGAGTTCTGTGAATGGTTTTGTGAATTTTTTCAGCTGTTCTTGGCAAAAGAAACCTATTTGGCCTCTGTTCTCTGCTTTTTTTATACACCGTAAACTGGATGGTGCATGGAGGTTTCTGGCTTGGGGTAGGAGGTAGGACTGGGCCATGGGGTGCTATGCCTCAAACACCCTTCCCAACAAGACTTGAAAAGTTGTTTCCAGAATACTCAGTCAGACACAACGTGTATGGGCATTGCAATCAGCGTCCAAAGCCACTACATGCCTCAAATTTGCCTCTGTCGTAAGCATCTCTGATAGGGTGGTAGTCCTCAGTGTTCCTCACTGCTCTCTACTTTTTTCCTCTCTAGCCTTCAAACAAATATGGAAGACCTGGTTGTCAAAGTGCAGTAAATACTAGCAGAGGACAAATGACAGAAGATCCAGTCTATGCCAACTGCACAAATTGCTCACACAGACATATGTGAACATGACCTCTTGTCTACTATGTGAATGACCTATAGCCAAGGTTCCAACAATTTTTACATTGGGAATGTGACTGGAGAGAGAGAAAACCCATTCCACTACCATTTCACTCATCCATGACTGAAGAAGTCCCACACACATACAATTGAATTGTGTGAAGACTGTAGGTATATACAAAGAGATAATTTACATAGGGGTCAAGAGATTAATAGTTGAGCAAGGAAGACAAATAGGCTGTGATGCGACTTGGAATGTCAGCAGAGCTGCTTTGTGCTAATACAAATTTGAATATAAGTGGACTATTGAAATAAGAGACTGAAAATAGGCTTTAAGTTGTCTTGCAGCCAAGCACTGAGTAGGTCAGATGCCACTTTCCATAACAAAGCTGCTCCTGGCTCCTGGTGAGGTATGTTTCCTCTGGACACAATTCAATATGGACACAAACACACACCCATCCTTCTGCCCAGAACAGGCAGCCTGAGCAGAAGTTCCTGCCCATTGCTGTAATATGATTACTCAAGCTTGCAGAGAATAGAAAGCAAATGAACAGATGCCAAGTCTTTCCTTTTCTACTGTACCAGTGAAAACAAAAACACATGGACTCTTCCTGTCAACCTCTAGAAAACAATTAAAATAAATTATTGTAAGGTTGAGCTATAGAATCATAGAGTTGGAAGAGACCCCAAGGGTCATCTAGTTCAACCCTCTGCAATGCAACTAAAGCATCCATACAGGTGGCCATCCAACCTCTGCTTAAAAACCTCTGGGGAAGAAGAGTCCATAACCTCCCGACGGAGACCGTTCCATTGTCGAACAGCTCTTACTGTCAGAAAGTTCTTCCTGATGTTTAGTCAGAATTTCTTTTCTTGGATCTTGCAGCCATTGGTTCGAGTCCTATGCTCCAGAGTAGGAGAAACAGGCTTGTTCCATGTGACAGCCCTTGAGATATTTGAAGATGGCCATCATATCTCCTCTCAGTCTCTTCTTTTCCAGGTTAAATATACTCAACTCCTTCAACTGTTCCTCATAAGCCTTGGTTTCTAGACATTTGATCATCTTGGTCACCCTCCTCTGCACATGCTCCAGTTTGTCAATATGAAAACTAGAAATGAAAACTCTAATTGAGAGCAAGAACTGTTCATGAATAAGCATGGGGAGGAATGAAAAGAAAGCACTGCTCAAAACACACTTCCTTCAGGCATCCAGAATGCCTAAGGCAGGGAAGAGGAACCTGTTGTTCTCCATATGTTGTTGGACTGTACCCAATTATTGCCATTTTCTTCAGTCACCTCTCTGCATTCTGAAATTTCAGCAACACTGCCCGTATGCTTTCAAATGTTATCTTCAAAGCCAAAAGAAATAGCAACATTAAGAAAAAGGAAAGCTGTAGGAATCCAAATGTTGTGTCCAGGATTACAATGTTTCATCTCTTTCAGAAAGGTAAAATCAGATGCTGTTGAACTTCAAAATTCACACCACCTTAAAATATAATATGGTGACATATATGGGCTACGTAGTTCCTATTGACATGACTTTAACAGTGCCCACAGACCAGAAACTATAAAGGAGTTAGCCCAATCTCAGTGGTATTGGTTATAGCACTGGAGTGGAAATTTAAGGGGCTGTGAAAGATGATCTAGGGCCAGATAAGTAGCAAATATTACCACTATTAGAATCAACTCAGGCATTGCATTCACATGGGAACAAATCCTGTGCTATATCTGTTAAGATCATTAAGTGATCTTTGCTCTAATGCTTAGGAGTTCTCAAGTTCTTCCTGAAACAGAGATTATTATCTTATTTCTTGAACAATGAGCAGATAGTTTACTGATTAGTGTTACTACCTTGCTTGTTTTTAAAGAGGTATTTTCCTCTAGACTTTTATCACTAAGCATCAGCTCCATTTAATCTATAGGTAATAACAAAGAGAGAGGGGGGGGCTGCTTGTAGCTAAAAGTGTAATTTAAATAGCTATCTCCATAAGGCAGTAATTTTTGAACCAATGAGATGGAGATCAGGAACGTTTTCCCAGCATTACATGGACAGTCTAGGACATTGTGCAGCTTTATTTATTTTACAGCAAAATCAAATGGAATTACAACAGTTAGTTAGTTTGCTTCACCCAGACTTGAAGAGCCTGCCATGATTAGAAACCATCTTTTGGCATCTGTGACTCCTTATCCAAGTCACATATGTTACAATGGATGTTGTTGTGTTTTAGCAAAGAACTCAGGAAATGGAGATGTATTGGAAGTGTGTGCCATAAAACTCTGTTATGTCAATGATGTTCTGCTGTTTTGTCTGACATATCAACTGCATCATCAAATTTACAAAGAATAAGAGTAAAGAAATTTGCAATATTTACCAACGATCAGGAGTTCCATTTGCTAAGTAAATGTCAATGGAGAATGGGCATGTGGCAGCACTTTAGGCAGAGTGTAGAGGCTGCCATGTGTACTACGACATGCTGTGGCACCCATCATTCTCACTCGTGGAGATTGTTAATCACATGGAGGGAAAGGAAGGCTGTGGTGGAGGTTGAAAGGGAGTAGCTGGGGGAATTATCTAGGCAAAAGTGGCTACAGCTATTGCTTAGACCAGTGGATTTCAACCAGTGTGCTGTTGGCCTGAATAATGGTCAAGGGTGCCGCAGGCAGCACTGGCCCTGGCCCTCTTTCCTTCCCTGCCTCCTCTGATGCCCTCTCGTGTCTCTGCCTCCCAAAGGCTTGCGCAGTTTGTTGCAGCAGCCCCGGCGCCTGCTGCCATCACTGCTGCCTCCCAAGGTGAGTAAGTGCTGGCCTCATGTTCACCTTTGGCCAGTCTCTGTCGGGCTGCTAAGTCTGGGGGAATCCTCTACCCAGGCTGCCAAGGGGCAGCATGAGAAGGCAGCTCTCTTTGGGGTGGGGTGGACAGCTCAAAGACCAAGGGCAGCTGTGGCAGCTGCCCAGAGGACTCCCATGGGGAGGGGAGGGGGGAGGGAACACTTCACAAGGGTGTGAGGAACTGCCAGCTCTACAGACAAGGGGTGACATAACTGGGCTTCTGAGGCTCGAAGTTCGTTTCCTCACCAAGGAGCCACAGAAAGAATGCAGTTGGTTAAGTTGAGCTGTGGGCTCAGAAAGGTTGGAAACATCTGGCTTAGGCATTTGTACATATGTGGCCGTATTTTGTGGACTGGGGAGCATGTAAGAGTGGCTTGATTGGGATCTGCAGACTTGCACAGGACACTGGAGGAAGGTTACCAGTTTCTGGTGGTAGCCCAGAAATGTGCCTCCTTTTGAAATGCACCCCCGCTCCCCATCTGTGAATTATGTTGGTACAGCAGTCAGTACACACAGCTGTTTTGATCCCATATGTAAGGGTATGGCTGTGCTTAGTAATTTGACTTCTACCCAGCTGGAACTTGAAATGCCTTATACTAATTTATTTAAAACTTGAGTTTATAGCTCTTTCATGTAACACAATCAGTGTTTCTGGGGGGGTTTTTTGTAGTAGAATAACTTTATACTGGAAGAAAGCGAGCATGTTGTCTAAACAGAATGAAAAGGATTACTGTTGTCTTGTATTTTTTTTAATTAGTTTGCTTTTTATCTAGTAAGCATTCTTTATTTTTTTGTTCATATCTCAGATGCTTCCACAGTCTGTTCTGCCGCAAACTTTTCACATTCAAAGCAGGGGGAGGGGGTAGAGGGGAAATTATACAGCACATCTTAGTATTTGTTTAATCTGGTTTAATTCAAATTTCATAGATGCTTTGGTTCACAGGGAAAACTGGATCATCACATCACACAGAGCAGTGTATTTAATTCTTTCCATTAAATAGAACAGGAAACAACAGTAAATGTACCATTCAGTCAAAAGAGAGCGTCAGTGAACAGTAGCTGAAGGCTGTTTTTAAACCATTAAAAACCACGGCTGCCCTGTACACACTTAAATTACGTTTTGTCCACCACACAACTGGGGATATCAACAGCATCTCATAGAAAAATGTATCACCATGTTTTCAAATTGTTTACATATGATTTTCTTAGAGAACTTTGTCTGCAGAGTGAGATTCTCTTTAAACAGAAGAAGAGGGGGAACTGTTCTAGCTTCACCAAGGCAGTGAAACTGATTCAAAAGCAAACATACAAGGGAAAGTGGAGAGCAGGAATTAAGGAGGCGACCACATGGATCTTGCAATTCTTTAGAAGAATGAGGTGAAAAACAGGTAGGCTTTGCTGAAGACCTTCCACTATTTGGCACAATGAAGAAACAGCAAAGATCAGGCAGGGTAAAGAGGTAAGAACAGCTTTCATGTCACCCCTACCAGCTGTCCATAGCACAAACACACATTTTATCTGGACTAGATAAATGAGAAAAACTACTGTTCCCAGCTTTGTACTTGTGATTGTTAATAGATGTGAGATTTATCCCAAATATATCTCATATCAATGCAATGAAAATTTAGAACATCCATAATGAACAATTACATGATTAGTGTGATTGTACACATTACTCTCAGCTTTTTGTTTGTAACTCTGTTATTGGTAAGTTTTTTATTGGTCTTGGTTGAAATCAAGATAAAGTCAAGTTCAATGGATGATCCCAGCAATGAGTAACTTACTGACCATAACTGTGGTCACTCAAATCTTTTGAAAATGTTTCATATGTAGAATAGTATTCCAGCTGCAAAAATTATAGTAGTGTGACCATTCAACCATGTCTGTCTGTTTCTGCTTGGGCACTTGGCTTGGCAACCTACTTGACCTGGAAGAGTAATTTCTAGTCTTGGACAAATGGCTAATTTCAGGGCTGCATTAGACATGCAAGGCTGTGCATAAAATGTACCACATTAAAACTTCAAAATTTATGCTAACGATACTTCTGGTATATGCTGTTGTTTATTTTACTCATCTGCCATACTTATATCCTGGTGCACACTTTTTGTTTTCAGTGCAGAAATTCATTTAAAAGGACAGGTTTCAAAAGAACCTTACGTTCTTTAAGGTGCAACTCAGATAAGAAAACCAAAAGGGTTTCAGTAGCCAATAGGATTGGTGCACAGTTGTCTTTGAAAAAATGCCATTTTTACAGGCTGTGAATAAGAAAACGTTATTTCTCCAAGGGCCATTTTATTTGTACATATATCAACATAAACACAGCTTTGCTTTATTGGCATCTGAATTTTTATGGTTGTACTTGGTTGGTTGCTTTGTTCCTTCCTTCCTTGAACTATAGGTGAAGTTGACTGTTCTTGAACTGGAGCTCCTTTTACAATTATTAAAAGTGTGAGAAGTGGGTAGACTGAAGCAGGCTTAAATTACACAGACTTAAGAAAATGTACATATATGTACATATATGGAATGGTGTATGGAGGCAAACCCCATGGAATTTAATGTTATTCACTTCTGACCAATCATGAATAGCACTGGTTGTTAGCTTTTGTGAGTAAGACGTACATTGGTAAATACATATCATGGACAGTTGTTCTCTTTCAACCGACCCTTATTGGTTGAGAACAGTAGAAACAATGATACGTTGGAGCATGAAGTTGTTACAGCAAGTGCCACATTTTTAACCAGTGCTTTTCTTTTAGAAAAGGAGATACTGGTACTGCATACCCATGAGTACCCCCAGAAAAAAGGCTCTGCATTGGAGCATGATGCATGTGGGCATTCCTATTAGTAGAATATATAATAAAACTGTGGGGCAGGGTGGGGGAAAGAAGTGGTTTCCATTAAAAAATATATCAAAGAATACTAATCTACTTAAATTGTAATAAGAACACAGTCCAAGCCAAATGGATGTACAACATGCATCAGTGTTGTATAATAACTGACTTGGAGAAAATATGGGAAGTTTTTCAGCTGCATTAGTGAAATCTAGCTTTGTATCACTAATGTTATGCAAGGCCTATACAGGACTGGTTCTTGTATACAAAATATTTTTGACCAGGGAAGGATTTCTCACATGCTACATACAACTCCTTATTTTAAAATGACAAATGTCAATAACCACGGCTTCAAAAGAAGACAGGGGGCAACAGCTAGAAACAGAAATTCTGCATTGTGGTGGTAGGTAGCTCAACACTTCTCCACAGAGAAAGCTGGTCTCTCTGGGTAGTAGAAACACGGTGAGTGAGATAAAAGAAGAGTAAGTGACAGAGACAGGGGGCGTGATTAATTCCATCAGATCACACACTGGTTTCATTCAGCAGCTGTTCACTGAGGTGTAAAAGTCTGCAATCTATTACGACTGCAGGAATGGCTTGGGGGAAGTAATATCTCCCACCCTAATGTATCAATAAATGTTTAATCAAAGCAGACATTTCTTTCACACCATTTTAAAGAAATCTTTTCTTTCTGTCTTCAAATTGCAATAGATAAAACTTGATCTTACAGAGGTAGTGGGGAGAGGGAGAAGATTCGGACTCTTTTAACACATCCAGTGCTGGCCTCATAAAACAACGAAAGGCAGGAAACTCTTCTGCTAAACAAGGCTGTCAGTTCTACAATGTAACAAAACACCCAGTCTGCTCACAGTGAATTTTCTTCCCTAAAATTTCAAGTGTTATGAGAATTGTTTTCTACACATTCATTACAAGGAGCTTTATGAAGATTGAAGCACATGACATGGGGGGGGAACCTTTTGTGCATTTACGCTTATGCCTTTCACTGTGTCTGTCCCTTTATTGATTTCTAACATGTCTCATTTTGTTTGTTGTGGATTTATTAAAAACAGAACTCTTAAATGAGGGAGGAACACCTATCTGGTGCCCTTCTAGAATACGTACTCGTGAGTCATTATGAGTAGTTCAGGCCTCCTTGACAGTAGTATTTTCTAATTATTACATCCTGAACCCTAATTTGAAATAGAGGGGGCACATACTTCATATGTGCTCAGAGATCCTGTCTTTAACTTACAGTTTTCAAAGTGTGATCCAAAGCTGTTGACACAGTTTCACAGCTGAGACTTCTGTGAAATTACACTTTAGTTATAAGGGCATTCAGTTGTCCATTTTCCCAATGATGCAGGTTGAAGACTTCTTTTTTTTTTTTGCAGTACCTTGCAGTGGAAATTCACATGGAACTGAATTATTGGAAGGGCTGAAGCAGAACCCTTCCCAGCCTGAAGGCTCATGGTGCAGTTCAGAAACTGCAACTCTGGTCAAGTTATTTGGAGCATGTGCCTCCATTTTCGTTCACACTAAAATAGCTTGTTTCTTAACGGCTTACTACATTTAAAGCCTAAAATGTTTTCGTCTGGGTTATTGAAAGGTCTGTCATTTCTAGAATGCTTCTGATTCCCCTTAGAGGTCAGCCACTAAGATCTTGCTTCATGACCCTCCTATGTCTAGAGAACATTTGGTAGATAAGTCAATCCACGTACGTCGGACTCAGTTTGAACTGCTGGTTTTGGCCATTAGAGCTTTTCATAGTTCAGGGCCAGGGGATATGAAGGACAGCTTGCCTTCATGCATATCCACCCAGCAGGCACAGCCCAAGAAATTTGGCTGCTTGTGGTGAAGGAGAATAGGACACCTCCTCCCTATCCCATGTTAAAAAGCCAGCCGGACTGGGAGTTGAATTTCACTTCAACACTGGCAAGAGGGCAGCATCTTCCATCCTACCTGCAGCAGACTAGTTTAGGGCACCCAGGACATGCCATATGATATATACAGCCATGTCCTACAACAGAGGGGACTGTCCAGGGAGCTCAGAAGGAACTACCAGGTAGGCTATTGCTCCTGATCCCGTTACATCTGCCACCTGAGGCATTCACCTTACTCTGCCTAATGGTAGGGCCAGCCTGAATATTAAGGTATGTAGCAGAGAAATCCCAGGGTTCTCTTGCTATCTGATGGGAGGGTGGGTTTCCTCAGTGCTGGCACCCTTAATTTGGAATGCTTCTTCCAAAGATGTTTGCCTGACGCCTGCGCAGATGCCATTTTGGTGAAGGTATTTTTTCATTTCCACAGACTTAGTTATTATTTTATGCCACTTCCTTTCATCTTTGGTTATATATTTTAACAATGCATTTTAATTTTTGAACTTTGCTTGATGTTTTTAACTTTACATGCTGCCCTGTGAAGATGTTGCTCTTTTTATTGTCTTACTCACAGTCATAACTGCATAATTTTGGAAGGAGGTGGGGGAATGCTAGGCCAAAAGCAGCTTTTTATTTTTAGAAAATGATACTGTGATAGAGGTATAAGAATGGCACCAGTAGTGGCCAGCAGTCAATCAATTATTTAATTTCTTAAGTTACAGTAGATCTCTGTTATTTGAAGACCTAGCTGAATAAATTGTGTTGTCCTGGAATGCGATAGGCATTAGCATTACTTCAGAACATACAGTTTCCTAGTGATTGTTGAAATCCTGTTGTCTCACATTTATTCTACTCATAGGTGCTGCCATTTATTTTTTGATCTTTAGAAAAAGACTGAAAGTTTTGGGCACAGTGAGCTGTTGTGATTTCAGGAAGACTAAAAACACACAGTTCAGTTCATTTTCATGTGGCTGTCCACTGTAGGAGACTGTAAAAAATCAACGTTGCAATGAGACAAATGGTTGTGAAATTTAATCATGACTAGCCTATGGTTGTATAGCAGAGTTAGACACCAGACAAGGAATCTAGAACAAAATTAATGTTGACGAAGAGAACAAATCCATATTAACCAAGAAGACTTGAATAATAAGAACAGAACTTGAAATTGTAGTTATTTCTTCCAGCCCAAGCATCTTGCCCTATAAAACTATATGGAAATTGGGCTGCTGCCTAGCAATGTAATATCAATTTTCTCACTTGCACAGTATACAGAATTAAAAGTATACTGACTATAAATTCAGACTTCACTATTTAAATATTATCTACAATGGGAAGACTTTGACAATGCTTTGTGACAGTCTTCCCTTGATATCTCCCCAATGGGAAGTTTTGGATTATTAGGTTCAGAGTACACAACAGCAGAATCTGGGCATAAAAATTCAGTGTGGGAAATATTCTAGGCATATGACCTCTTAACACACAACACAATCTATTTTCTGAAAGGCTACTAAGCACCGCCATCCCATCCCATTGACAGTATCTATCTCTATATCTATCTTGTGTATTAACTGTAGTGATGAGAACCTGATTAAGAGTCACTGATGCCTCCTCAGAAATTCCACTTTGGGCTACCGTCCTAAATCCCATGCATAAATCCCATTGAAGTAAATGGGAATAAACTGTGCATAATTGGTAATAGGACTGCATACTTCCTTCTAAAGTATATTTCAAATTTTGTATGCCTGGTACCTTTTCTGCAAGAATGACTCAGTTGGTAGACTGATGCCTAGGATATAAAGATGGCTACTGTCATGGATGAGCAAGCTTGACAGCTTAATTGATTGGCAAGAGCCTCACATTGAAGACGTAATGTTTTGCTCCCCGCTCCCCCAAACAGGCAGCATCTGTGGTTGTGCAGAAACTTCAGCTGCACACCATCAGTACTGCAAAGGAAATTCTTCTTTCTTCTTTTTCACATTTTTCTTTTAAAAAAAACAAAATATATGGACAAAACCAAATACAAAAGTTAAATAAATAAAACACTTAGACTCTGCCTCAGGGAAGCAGTGATCCAAGATTTCACCTTCACTGTTGCAGCCTGGAGACATGTGTCCTCTGTTTTCACTACGGCTTGTCTTCTGTGGACACCGAGGAAACGGCAAGTGGCTTCCAGGGCCTACAGGCAGGTTTCACACTAGACTGTCTCTCTGGTTAGACACAGGGTGTGTGTCATTGGATGAGGCCTGAGCTGTAGCTGAATCCATAGCTGCTAGACAGTGACATGCGTGGCCCGTGCTCCTCATCCTGCTCTGAGGTGTAGCTGGGAAATGTCTGTGCACGAGTCACTTTTGTTGAGCTGAGGCTGTGACCTGGAAGGAAAGGAGTGGGGAGGGGAAGGAGACAAATCTCATGAATATTGTTATATTTTAACAATTGCAAATTGCACATATTCTTGATGTTAACAAGATACACTGATATTCCAGAAATGGTTTATCATTCATTTAAAAGACTATGGTAAGATATGTGTAAAGGGAGAGCTGATGTCAACAATAATTCTACAACCTATCTTGGGCTTCAAATATGTGTAAATAATATGGTGCTCCTGCAGCCTATATCCCCCCTCATAGACTTCTGGACACTGTAGTTTGTTAAGGATTGCTGGGAATTATAACTCTGTGCAGTACCCAGAATACTTTGGGGGGCATGTGCTCTAAATGTGCTTGAAAAGTATAGTTTGCACCTTTTTTGTTGGACCTGTTTATGTAATGTTACAGACCGTGATAGATTTGGAAAGGGGTGTATTCTTGCTCCACCTGTCACCATATATTTTTAAGCACAACACTGGAAGCATGCCAAATGAATGGGGAAAGGAAGGTAAGTCTCACATAGATTTCTCCAGTTTGCTCTAAACTCGTTGGTGGGTACATGCGAGCCCTTTACATTTGTCTCAAATCAAATCACAGTCACAGAACCTTTTGTAGTTTCCCCTCTAGTCTGGAGCAACGATATCTATGGCATGAAGCTTGGGTGATTAGGATGACAGGGCATTCTAATGCAATATTAGTGTTCAGCTTCCCCTGCATTCAGATCACAGAAGTATTAAAGGTTGGATTAGTATGGCTCAGGCTCCCTCAACTTCAGCCCTCCAGATGTTTTTGGCCTACAATTCCCATGATCCCTAGCTAGCAGGACCAGTGGTCAGGGATGATGGGAATTACAGTCTCAAAACATCTGGAGGGCTGAGGTTGAGGAAGCCTGGTATGGCTGGTTCTGCAAATATCTCATGACCATCTTGATCCAATCTGCTGGGGTAATGCAGTATAGAAAAGGTAATCTCAGATAATTACTGCTTAAATCCACTGAAATTTACAAGCCAATCAAATCCACAGAAGGAGACCAATCAATAATAGTTATGAGCAGAAAAAGTACAACAGAAAATGGTGGTATCAGGGAGTGAAACCAGAGACAGTACAGTGACTGCAATAATCAGACAGCGTTATAATATTACACATCAAATGAGAATACACATACGTCTTAACAGTTTACTAGCTGGGTGAATTAACCTTTGCTTTTGAAACCTTTAATGAAATATCATGGCTTAGATGTCTTTTGGCTTCAGGAAGCCTTTGTGTTAAAATGTAAACCGGCAGATGATTAATGAATGGGAAGTCATCAATCTATGCCGTTTGCTGGGATACCAGAGGCTGATTATAAGTTGCTTCTAATAGGTATTACTCTCCCACCAGATTCCACTTGCTGTGCTTATAATACACCAGAGGTTGCATCAGAATACACTGTGAACTTGATGATGCCTCCTTTAGAAAGATGCCACCTGGCCTAAACTTTTGTGCTTGTTACTGCAGAAATGCCAGTGTCATCCTGAAGATGTAAATCTTGTCCCCATCATCCTGACTTTTTAAATGTTCCCCAGTGGAATTTTGATGCAGACGTTTTATTTGTACTGATAAAGTTCATAAGGAAACAAGCAGCTTTTTATTCCTCTCCCTCCAAAAACAAAAATGCACATTCAAGATATTGCAAGCTGGTACAGTTCGTCACAAAACATTTTTACAATGCCTAGCCGTAATTTTTAAGCGGGAAATTATTTGACGCCACCTACAAAAGTTCTATGAAGAATAATAATAGCGGTATCTGGTAGTGCTTAAGTAGTTAGAAACATCTGAAACAGAGCTATGTGTATTTGGTTTTATCTTAAAAGTTCCCAAATCCTAGGATGGTGGTGGAGGCATGGTGGGGGGAAATGACAGTAGGTCATAGCCATGGTAATTGTTCACATATCACTTGATTTCTCTGCACTTGACTGATGTGTTTATCACCCTGCCTTATGCTTTTTCTTGTCATCAGGGCAGGGATTGAGAGCTTGTGGCCCTCCAGTTGTTGTAAGACTACAAATTCCATTAGCACCAGTTAGCATGACCAATGGGCAGGGTTCATAGGTGTTGTAGCATCTGAAGGGCTATAGGTTGCCTCTTCCCTGATCTTTTCTTCCACTGTCACCTGTAGCCAAACAGATTGTTCAGGCTTGCAACAATGCAACCTGTTTGGCAACAGTTAACATGAGTGTACACTCCATGACCCATGACTTCCTCATTCAAATGACCTTCAATTTAAAACAAGAACAAACAAACAGACAAACTAATGGCGTTGTTCAACTTTAGTAATTCCCAACAGATTACTGCTAAACGCAGGGCTTTTTTCATCTGGAACTCACTGGAACTATGTTCTGGCACCTCTCAGGTGGGCACAGGGCCAGATTTAGGTTTGATGAGGCCCTAAGCTACTGAAGGTAATGTGGCCCTTTATATGTCCAGTTGTCCTTTGTCAACAACAAATTGTCACTTTTTTGTGTGTTGAATATATGCTATAGGGTAATTTATGGAACTAATAGGTATTTAAAGCCATTTGCACATAACAAAATATGTATTTTATCAAAGTAATTGTTGAACTGAAATACATCATAGGAGCCTTCACAACACAAAACACTGTTGCTGTATGTAGGTTTTATTTTGTTTTTTAATCTTATATTTTGGAAACGTACATCCAGATTTTTCCCCTTTAATTTTTTTTTGGGGGGGTGCCCCAAGAGAGTGGGGCCCTAAGCTATAGCTTGTTTAGCTTATACGTAAATCTGGAACTGGGTGGGCGCCATTGACATTATAAGAGAACAAGGGAGACATTCATGGTGAGTTCCGGCACCTCTTTTTCTAGAAAAACAGCACTGGCTAAACTTACTATAACACAACCTGTTAGTAGACAACTTATAGTGATTTCGAGTTCATTCCCAGTGTACAATTTCCGCTTCTAGCAGCCAAGCCATTTATAAATAATGCATACAACTGTTTTCATATAAAGGGGGAATGTAATACATGCTTGATTCATGAGTTTGTGTGACAGATAGTTTAGATCTTGTC